AAATATTTTTTCACGACAGGCGGCGGATGGTGGGTGGTTGGTGGAAAAACGTCTAAATAATTAGATAAACATTTAAGCTCGACGAGGCAGCCAGCGAAAAGGAAAAGAAAGTAAAATGAGGCGAAGTGACAAGGAGACAGACACATAAAGGATATTCCGTCTGAAAGGGGGGGGGGAAGGGCAGGAGTACGTGACCATAACATGAACTGCTGCCACCGACCTCTGCCCCGCCCACCGCCCACAGCCCACAGCCCTCGCTCTCGTTTTGCGGGTTCAAAGCGGAGAGACGACGACAAACAGGAAATATTTAACGTGCCAACAACAAAAGTGAAATATAAATAAAAATAATAATAATAATGAGCAGAACGTAGGGAACGCAGATAAAGAGAGAGAACGAGAGAAAAATGCCCTTTTCACATTCGTTTTAGCGATTGTTAAGGGACTGAAGGACCCGACGGGACTACCTTATAAGTACTTACTCTACCATGGGCTGGTTTTCCCGTTGTTCCTTGCGAGGAAGCCAGGTTTTTAGGCCATTTTCTCTCCAACGTTCAAACGCGACGGACGCGCCTGCAGAAAGCGGACTGCAGAATCGAAGATACAGCTACGGTTTGGCTTCGGTGTGTTGGTGGGAATTTCTTCTGCTGCCGCCTCTTTTTGGATATATGGATATTTATGCTTCGCGTGTCCGCCCGTTAAACGCTAGTCAGTGTGTGCGCGCGTGTGTTTGTGCCGATAATTAAAGCAACAACGACGGATACGGGAATACGAGTACGAAATGCTTTAAGACCGAGATTAAAGTTGAAGGTCGGTCGGTGTTTGTATGTGGAAAAGCGGACAGGAAAACGGATAGGATCGCCTGCCTGGTACCACGGACAGCGATAGCGTTAACGTTCAACGTTAGTATACCAACGAAAGGCTGAAGTCGTTAAGCCAAAGAATACGAATAAGCCAGCAAAATAAAAGTAATCGTGCATTGCTCCCTCTTTGCTGCTGCTGCGCATGTTTCGCTGCCTGCATTTTTAGTTTCGCCCGACTATTACAGCATGCTTTACATTCCGTTTACATCACGTGTTAAATAACTGCTGGCTGTCACTGCTCGCGACTGTTTTATATATGTGTGTGCGTATTGTGTGCAATTGTTGTTGTTTGCCCAAGCAAATATGCAATGATTTTTGCGCCTCCCTCCCACGACTTTCTTCATTGATGTCTTGCATGTGTGTGTGTCTGAATGGGTGGGTGGGTGTTTGGCGTTGGATACACACCCCCACACCAACACAGCAACTTCTGGCGGAACTGGAAGTCGCTTTCAGAGTGTGTGCGTGTGTATCTAATGGGATTTTCTAATAAAATTTAAATTGTTGCCGCTTTTGCCGAGCGGCGTTCTATGAATTTAATATGACTCCTGTGTGTGTGAGTAGGGGCCATAAAGCTTTGCTTATGGCTGGAAAATTAAATAGAGTGCATAATTTAAGCATCAACTTTGCGTTGAATGCATAATAAACTGCAGCAATTGAAAGGCGCCATCTCACAAAGGACTACTGCATAAGTAAACAATAACTTTAACTTTGAACTACAAACTCAATTTGAACCGGAGAAAAGAGGCATTTTTTATTCCGGAGTCGTGAAGTAAAAGTGCCGTCGGCAAACAAAAAGTGTATGTTTCCAAATGAATGAAGTATAAATTAAATGCAATGCAAATTGTAAAAAAACTACTGTTTCGAAGTGGAATATTTAATATCAATCAATAAAACTCAATACACTAATTGAGTGAAAATACATTTTTCTTGGTGACTCGTTAGTTATTTTTATTCTATCAATTATCTGAACTGTTTGATTAATAACTATTGGAATTAAATCCGTTTGGGAAAACAATAGAGTGCAACATAAAACAATAGCAAAATAAAACTAAATTGAAGTATAGAGAAAAGGTTAAAATGAGTGTTTCGGCTACAATATTTAAGTTTTGTTTAATTTTTTCAAGACACTTGTCTTTAAGTTGTGTCTTGTATATTCACAAGGTATGGATTGATTGCGTACTATGAATATTTAAAACTACTATTAATACATAATTAAAACTAAAATTGAAGGTTAGTTAAATATCTTATCGTTCCCAAAATTTATTTAAGAACAAACTTAAAATAATTGTAGAAAAAGAATAACGTGTTTGCAATTGCGTACATATTTTTACAATGTTCCTTTTTTTAATTAAAAATTATTAATTATCTTTAATATTATTATTATTATCTTTATTCAGATGTGTACCTATAACATAACAAAAAGATTTTTTTTTGAGTTGCTATTGAGGAAATTTATATAAACTTAAAAAAAAAAAACTAAATATCTATGGAATAATGATTTCTAAACGTGTGTAGCTAAAAAAAAAAAACTCACTTTTCAGTAAATAATTCAGTAACAACAAACCCGAAAAAGAATATCTACGGGTTCGTTTACCCCATTTCAAAAACAACAAAAATCCATGAGGAAGATGAGCGCAGTTAACATCAATCCGCAGTAATAGGCTTATCACAAAAGCGTTGCCGTCGTAATCTGTGGGATCTTTGGGGTGGACAAACATAAAATATAAAATGTTTCCATTTCATGTGTTTAATTCCCTTTTACATAAAGATTTCGAGTTGTGTAGGTCTACAATTTCAATAGGAAGGGCAACACTTCTGACTACGAAACGGCCCAAGACTCGATCGGACTAACAGGAATAAGAAAATAGCCTTCTTGTTTTTTAATTAAAACTCGAAGTTAATAAAGTAATGAAACACTTTAGATTGGTTAATTTTATATTTGTTTTTACCGCTTTTCACCCCACCTTTTCTCTCGTTTTTCGAAATCCTATTTTTAAATTGCATCTGTACAATATATTGAATTTATATATAAATAAAAAAACCAAAGTCCAAATTTTAACTTTAAATGTACCAATTCTTATTTATAATTGGTCTAGCTATTTGAATTAATTCATCTTTTTGTTTTGCACCGTCTGTCCGCTTCAAGAATAGCATCGAAAGAGATAGCATGATATTCATTGTGTACTGCAGCGTAAGCAACGTGCAAGTGAAGCTCTCCGCAAAAAATTTGTTAAACATTTCTAAAACAAGTGTTTGTGCCATGGAAGTGATTAATATTTTAAAGAAAGGTATTAACTTTCTTTTTACAATAAAAAGTATATGTAGTATTTGTTGTGTGTTGTGGAAATCATTGTTGTATTTAGTACATAATTGTGAACGTTCTTAGTTTGTCTTTTCTGTGTTTGGTTAGAGTTTTAGTTGTGATGGCACTCTTTGGCATTCACAAATCTTTTTGTATAATATTCTTAAGCATTTTAAGAATATAAGAAAGTTTAGTTCAAGTGCCGTAAGGTGCCGTGCGGCTTGCAAAATACAAAAAGGTAACCTAGCCTAAGGCAGGCGGAAGCGGAAATTCTAACGATGGCAATACTGCCAGGGCATTTTTTAATAATCCTGATATGTCTGCTATTATAACAGGTGTTGAAGAGAACTTAATAATAAGATGCTCAACAATTTTGCAAGCGATTTCATCAGGCTACAATATAAATTCTGCAAAATTCGGAGAGTGTGCATTAGAAACAGCAAAACTACTTATCATTAAATATCCGTGGTACTACCTTCCTGCATCGGTTCATAAAGTATTATTACATGGTTCTGCCATAATTAAAAATTGTTTAGTCTCAATTTTTCATATAAAAACTGAATATCAGACCGATTGTTCATATGGCAGCTATATGATATAGTTGCCCGATCTGGCTGATTTTTACATATTATTTTAGGATAAATATAAAAAAATTTTCTGCAAAGTTTCAAGTCCCTACCCCAACTAGAAGTATTTTTGGCCGCTCTCCCCATACGAGCCAGACCACTGTGGATCCCTGCGAACCGCCATAATTAGGTCGGAAAAATAAGCCATCAAGTAACATCCTCAAGTAACATGTAATCAGCACCGAACTAGTTTCCTATTACTACATTCGATCCAATCCAAATTCTTGAATTATTGTTTTTGTTGTCGCGGTTAGCCAGTTTATCGTTTTAATTAGGTTTATAAAAGAAAAACATTAAATTGGTAACGTTCCTTAAAAATGTTTTATTTTGTCTAGAAAAACCAACCCGAATACCAAAGTTCCCTTTTTTTGTAACCAGAGAAGATTTTTGTATACGTGCAGTCCGTTCTGTCCGCTCCCTTTCTCTCGGTTGTATGTATGTATGTGCGTGTGTTTATCCACAAACACACACGCGACTTGGGCTACCTGAAACTGAAATTTCCCGCATTAGATTGCGGCCCTTGCCATACATTGCTCTTCTCCCACCGTTGTTGTTGTTACTGCTGTTTGCCTTTATTTTCTTCCTTTTCTTGCTGCCTCTTTCAGTGGCTTTTTCTTTCCCCTTGTATTCTCCTGTTTTTTTGTTTACTTTATGCTTTCATTTATCGACCCGCTCTCTTTTTCTCTGCCCACTCTCTCTCTCTCTCTCTCCGTTCTCCCGCAACATATTCTTTTTAATCTTCGCATAAATTCCCAAGTTCTCTGCCTTGCACTTAAATTCCAGTTTCGTATCTGCCTGCAATTGAGCGTAAATTGTTTGGGAAATTTATCAGCTGTTAGCCCCGCTGTTACGACTTACAGCGCGACCCGATACCTTGCAACACTGCAGTAAAAAAACCGAAATCGCTCTCCAACACTGGCAAGCAAATAAACAATCAAAGAAAAAAAGAAGAAAAAAGCGTGCAAAAAAAGACTTAAGCATAAACACAAACAAATTAAAGGTGCAGAACAATTTAATGCATGAGTTGGTGAATTAAAATTATCAGGCAATTTAGGGGAAACATAAAATATGCCTTCCCTTCCCTTGGCCCGCGTCCAAAAGGTGTGGCTGTAATGGCCACAGTGGGGCCAGTGAAATCCCTTTGAATATCAGTAGCAACCCAACAAGAGATAACACCCGTGCTTATCAAAACTCCTCCTCCTCCTCTTGCAGCGGCGTTGCCACCTCACTGAGCTGCGCGGACTCCAGCACGGGCTCCAGTGAGGATGCGTCTGATCCCGGCTCCCCGTACAGCGCTCACTCGCAACTGAGCGACCCGCCCGATCCGCTGGCCAAGATGCCGCCTCAGATCCTCGGAAGCGCCAGCGGTAGCAGCTCCACAGCGAATGCCTCTCCGCCCTCCAGCAGCACCAGCCAGACACCTGCATCGCCAGCCATCCACCACAGCCATCTCAGCCAGCACAGCGCCTCCATGTCCAAGCCGACGACGCCCCAGCGCAACCACGGCAACCCCAGCCTGCTGCCCACGCTCCAGTGGCCGTGGAACACCAGTCTGGGCAGCACCTCCACCGCCGTCCCGGCCGCTACGGCCAACAAGAACAAGCGGACCGCAGCCGGATCGGGAGTGGGAGCTGGACCAGGCAGCTTGGGTGCCGATGGCGCCTTACTATCCAGTGGAGGCGCTGCTGCGGCCAAGAAGGCGCGTAGTGAACTGCCCAGCTCCTTTGACGCAAGCAAAAGACTGAAGGTGGCCGCCATGGAGGAGTCGCAGACCAAGATCACAGGTTTCTTCAAGTCCCAGATGAAGCCGTCGCCCAGCGGCGGAAAGCTGTCCCCACAGCCCGGCCAGCAGAGCCATCCGGCCAACACGCTGACCATGAGCACACCCGCTACCACTGCATCCCTGAACAAGTACTTTAACATCCTGTCGCAGCTCAAGGAACAGAAGGCCCAGCAACAACAGCAGCAGCAGCAGCAGCAACAACAACAGCAACAGGCAGCTAAGACATTGCCCACACCCGCTTCAGTCGTTCCGGCTGCTCCTGCGCCGCCCGCCCCTCCAGTGGCCACTCCCAGCCCCAGTTTGCCCGTGCCGGCGCTGAAAAAGATCGAGCGCAGCACCAAGCAGCCGGCAAAGATTGCCCAGGTGGCGCCCAATCTGCGCAAGACGCCCAGCAGTGGGTCCTCGGGCAGCTCCTCGTCGTCGTCGTCTAGCTCATCGAATGGCTCCAGTACGGGCAAGTCTCCAGCCAAAAAGCACGTGGCCATTGCTCCCCGGACGCCGGAGATGAAGCAGCAGCAGCAGGGCAAGGCCGCCATGGTGTACCGACCACCGGTAACGAGTCCCGCCCTAAAGCAGAAGCCGATCTCACCACAGGCCCCCGTGGCGGCCACCACGCCCGCTCCCACACCAGCAATCAATCCCTCGCCCGCACCCGCCAATCCCACGCTCTACCAGCTGCCCGTGCAGCTGCCCAATCTAGTCCAGCTGCCGCCCCAGCTGGCGGCCGCCGCCAACATCATGCAGCTCAACAACGTGGCCAAGGCGGCGGTTGCCGCAGCGGCCAACAACAATGCGGCCGCCCAGGCAGCGCAAGCGGCTCAGGCGGCTGCCGCCCAGTACTTTCTCAACGGCACTGTCTTTAAGCTGCAGCAGGTTACCACGGCCACGACGACGACGGCCACCACAGCCACGTCGGCGGCGGCCTCGGCTGGCAACCCCTTCGGACTGCTCAACTTGGCCACGGCGGGCCATCCCTTCGGCCTGCCCAACGCCAACGGGCAGTTTCCCATTGAGGCCATTCCGGGAGCTGGGAGCTTCTTACATCATCAACTGCTGCTCGCCAGGCAAAACAACATAAACTTGAACGGTAAGTTTACAACATTTTTGTTACTTAAATTCCTCTGCGTTCCATCATAAAGATGGCCCACCTTCCACTCTATTTGGTTTTCCACCCCACACCGATCATGAGGCTCGAAAGATTGCAAAACTTCTTATTAAATCTATTTTGTAATGTTTTTTTCAGAAAACATGGCTTCCAACCCTTGCGGAAACATGAACTTTGTGAACCCGCTGAACAACCAACAAGTGGGACTCAAAGACAACAAATTATATATAGTGAACTCTGCCGAGTACCTAGGCTACTTAATGAGCTTGCAGATTGCCCTGAACAACCAGCAGCATCAGCAACAGCAAATAATCTCTGCCACACAGCCGCCGCCATTGGCAGCGACGAACAACGCAAACGCGAACACTGCCACTCAGCCGCCACCATTGGCAGCCACGAACAACACGAATTCGAACACTGCCAACAACTCGACTGCCAGCAACAGTAACAACCACAATGCCTCGAATAATCTAAGCAACATCAGCAACATCAGCAATATCAGCAACATCAGCAACACTGCCATACAGCCCCAGCGGGCGATTGTAAAGCCACCGATGCACAGTTCCACGCAGCCGCCGCCGCTGGTGACGATTTCGTCGATGCCCCCGTGCTCCCCGGCAGCCGCATCCTCGCCAGCAGCGGCAGCAGCTAAACGGGCCCTGCCCCCCGCCAAGCCATACCAGAAGAGGATGACCGCCAAGGGCAGAGTGGGTGGCGCCGCGCCAATCATCGCCACGCCCACCACTCCGCCGCCTCTGGTGCCCACGTCGGCCACCAAGGAGTTGGGTCAGCTGCGCAAGAGCACGGGAACCACGGGGCCTCCGACGGTCACGGTCACCCCCACTCCCACGCCCCCGCTGGTCAGCATTGCGCCCGCGAAACTGACGCCCACACTCAGCGTTGCCAAGCAAGGACCCGCGATAAAGCTGGCCAACAGTGCGCCCGATCTCTTTGACCTGGTGAAGAACTCCAAGGTGTTGCCGAAGGCGTCGCAGCCGCTAACGCCGCTGCCCTTCAGCTCGCCGAGCAGCAGCAGCAACAGCAACGGAAGCCACTGCCTGCGGTCCTCGCCAGCGCTCTCCAGCTCAAACTCCTGCACCCTGTCGGCCTTCAGCAAAATCAAGGTTGAGACCTTGGAGCCGGCTTCCCAGAGCGACTCTGTGGTCTGCTCGTCGATGTCTCCAATATCACCCAAGCCGCAGAGCTTCGCCGGCCAGCTACCGAAGAGGGATCCGGACGCCGAATCGGAAGCGGAGACCCTCAAACACGAGCTTCTGCCGGACTGCACCAACAGCAACTCGAACTCCAATTCGTGCAGCAGCAGCAGCTATTCGCATTCGGTCAGTTCGGCAGCCGATCTCTCGCTGGAGGCCTCAACGCCAGCCCCCTCCCCCTCGCCATCTGCGTCGCCATCCGGGTTGGGTTCCCCTTCGCCGGCGGCCAGTAATATGAGCGGCAGCAGCCGGCGAGCGGCCAGCCAAACTGACATGCTCAGCGAGCTGGTCACCTCGTCCTGCATCTCCAGTGGCGGCGACGACTGCTCCCAGGCCACCGACTCGCCTCCACCGGCAACGCTGGCCTTGCAGCTGGGGAAGAGCAGTGAAGCGACCACCCTGACTCCCACGGCCAGCGGCGGAAGCAGCAGTGGCAGCAGCAACTACGACGAGGAGGACGACAAGTCGGTGGCCTCCCTGGAGACGCATCAGGCGCACAAGCGGCTGAGGGACCTGCCCACGCCGGAGTCGGGCATCGGTGGTAGCCTGAGCAACAGCGAGAGCAGCAACTCCATAGCGGATGCCATGTAAGTATAGTTAAGAATCTGAAGTGGTTGCCTATATCAAGAAACGTAGTTACTGGAACCTCTGCAAATGTTTTGCTTGTTCTCCTTTGAGAACAAGCTTCACTAACTAGCAACTAATAAAATATTCCCATATCAGTTCCTCCAAATCCGCCTCCGTGGGACCGCCCACCACTGCAGCAAGCAGAGCCTCATCCACGGCCTCCGACAGCAACTCGCTGGCCAGCAATGCTCCTTCTCCCGCCTCACCGGACGATTGCTCTGCTGCTCCGTCGCCCGCCTGCTCCGCCTCCACTGCCGCCTCCACTCCGCCCAGCACAGTGGTGGATATTGCGATGGTCGAGGCCAGCAGCAAGAGTCTGCCGAAGAGCGCCATCTCGCCCATTCTCTCGCAGCCGAAGACCATCCGCTTCCCGGCTGGAGCGGGGGCTGGCGGTAAAGGCGGAAAGCGGCACGACGGCGTCTGCTACTGGGACAAGTGCAACAAGAAGCATGAGAGCAACTCCAAGCTGCTGGACCACATGCAGACCCACCACGTCAACACGCAGACAGGCCCCTTCGCCTGCCTCTGGGTGGGCTGCAAGGTGTACAACAAGGAGTCCTGTTCCCGCCGCTGGCTGGAACGCCATGTACTCTCTCATGGTGGCTCCAAGCAGTTTAAGTGCATCGTCGAGGGCTGCGGCCTGCGCTTCGGCTCCCAGGTGCGTTTCCGTTCATTTGTGTCCCATGACTCCTTCCTAACTAACTCTTATCTCTTCAGTTGGCGCTGCAAAAGCACGTGAACAACCACTTCAATGCCACGGACAACGCCAAGGAAAGCACGAGCAAGCGCACCTCGGATCCACCAGTGCCAAAGCAACTCCGCAAGAATGGCAAGAAGCTCCGGTACAGGCGCCAGCCCTTCTCAGGTTAGCTATCACTTGTTGTTGTACCACAGTAACCATAACAGTAATTCTAATCGGAATTGGAACCCTCAGCTCGCATGTTTGACTTTTTCGACACGGGTATCATGGAGGGACTGCAGCACCGTCTGCGCCAGATCAGCACACTCACTAACGGGGCCCAGGCCATCGAGTTCCAAGGCCAGTGCGTGATGCGTCGTCGCAACAGCCAGGGCAGCTACGAGTGCTTTGTGCGCTGGTCCCCGCGCGAGATGTAAGTAAATGTGAAGGCCAGACAGTTGCCATGTTGCTGACCACGTTGCTTCCTTTTGTCCAACAGTATTTCCGATGAGTGGCTGCCGGAGTGCGAGCACCGAACGCGCCACCACACAAAGGTGCTGCACATCAAGCAGATGAGGCCGGCTGAGAAGACGCGCGTGGACAGCCTGCTCAGCACCGCGTTCCGGCTTCGCTACGACTCGCAACTGTTCGCCGACGACTATAACGTGAATGAACAGCAGATCGGCGAGCTGAGCGGCAGCGACTGCGAGGAGGAGGGGGATCAAGATGACGAGGAGGTCGACGAAGAGGACGAGGACGACGATGGCGGCAGCAGTTCGCGCAGTGCGAGCTGCGAGACTGTGTCCAGCTATCAGCAGGTGCTCAGCATTGCCAAGCTGCAGATGCAGCAGCGGCGCAAGCACCCGCGCAAACCACCCAAGGTGACACCGCCGCCGAGGGAGCAGCTAGTTCCCACGGACGCCCTGGTGCCGGTGCCCATTTAAAGCGCTGCCAGATTTCAAGTATTCTCTAAGTAATTATACCGAAAAAACACGACAAACGAGTAAACAGTGACAAGTAGACTAGTTAGTGTACGAGCTAAATAAGTTACTACCTACGCATATATCCAATTATGAATAGAAACCATAAGTACTCCAGCTTTGTTCATTTGTTTGTTTGGTCTTTGAAGCCAATGGATTAGTTTATTGTTCCCATCCCACTGTCGTCCATCGACCCCTGTACATATTCCGGATGGAGGCAACGTTATGAGTCAGGAGCAGTTTGATGCCACCTTATCGCAACCCACCCGCGCGTTCTAGCAAGTACTGTTAAGAACAAATTTCCTAATTTCTAGAGTTCTAGTTCTAATTTAGTTTCTAAAGTGTACATTTAGTGGAAATTCATGTGGAAATGACCGACTAGACAAGACTTGTTTAAAGCCAATTTTATGTTGATCTATTGAAAATTGTAAGGTTAAATTTCGTTTTCTTTTTGTTGCCCCTCATTGTATTGTATTTAACACCTAGAAACTGGCCAAACTTACACTGAAAGCGGAGAACTACGCACATAACTGAAAGGTTAAAGTTTAAGTATAGTGAAGTGACGTGGAAGAACACAAGACTTGAAGCATTTACCGCTACAAAACACGAGAAATATTTGTAAATCATTTTGTACTCAACTCGAACAGCAATGCAAACACTTGTAAGCCTAAGTTAGACCCATGCCCAAGACCATTTTTCATTAATTTAGTGCAAATCGAATTCAACTTTCGCCAATTCATCAGCGTCTCTAGTTCGTTTTGTGAAAATTTGAAGAGACAGAGGAGCATAATGCTAATGTTGTACATAATATAAAATAACATTAACTAGTTTCGCTTTTAAACTAACATTAACTATTCATTTAGAACTTAGCCAAGGCAAAACCCAAGTAAACTATGCAAATAAAGTTATCGAAAAGAAAATGAACAATCTACAAGCAAAATATAACAAAAGAACTCCCTATGTTTTCATTATTTGTTATTTACGGTCGAAGAAAAATTCAGAAAAAATCAGAAAACTACTATGTTTTACTTTCTGCGCTATTTTCTGTACATATCCGAACGGCAAACCAACTCTCGAAGCATGTAAGCTAATCGCTAAACGTAATTTATAATTTTCTATGCCAATGAATTTATAAGTGTTTTAAGTAAGTAAAGTAAAACTCGAATCAAGGACGAAAGATATAAAAACAAGAGTACTCATCACTGCCAAAAATGTAATTGAACAACACGAACGCAGTTGTTAAAAACGACTGATAAATTTAGAGTGCGTAATGAGCAGAGCCAGGAATTATTATTGTCTGCCACACCCAAATTCCTGATCGAGCACTTCCCCTACGTTGCACAATAACCACTCGCCTAGAGACGAGTATATCAAATATATCTGTGTGTTGTCTTAAGTAGAAGTAGATGCGTCTCTGTGCCCCTCAACTAGTTTAAGCCAATAAGCAAGATTGAAGTATATATAAAAGTACGTGTATAACCCCATATGTAAGGAGAGCAGGCAGGAAATCGGGGGGATTGTTACAACCCCCGATCACAGCCTATATACATACATGATTCAAAGCAATACTCTTACGATAATCGCCGATCAAGCTTAGTTGACTCTTCCATTTGGTTAGTCTTTCGATGCCTTTCGCCCGAGTTGTTCAACGCTTTGTACTGCAGAAATCTAGGGAAGTCTAAAACAATGGAACAAGTATCAAACCAGAATCCATGAGAAGTAAAGTAAAAGAAATTCAAATAAAATAAAACTACCTCAAATTTTGCAAGCGTAAAACACACAAAAGAATTTTTCGAAACAAGTTTTCTAAAGCGAAGAAAGTATATAGGTAGGTGCAGCGTTATATTTTGTCGGATAGGAAGATCGGGCGGCAGTTAACCGTAGATATCCAGACAGGGCAGAGCCGAGAAACAAGGGAAAATACACGAGTAGTACACACAAACAAACAAGGGGAAACCGTAGGCTAATTCCATATTTTGCTAATATTGCGTACAGTATGTAGGATAAGCAATGATCCAGTTAAACTACCCTCGCTTTTCCCTCTTTTCGATCGCTTCGAGTGACCCACCCATCCGAGCGATCAGCAAAGTATGCATTTGCCTTTAGCCCTGAGCTCAGTTGAGTTTGTACATAGATTAGTTTATCGCAAACGAGGTATATATTCAATATCATAACCATCATTTTAACATTAAAACCGCTTTAATGAATTGCAGAGAGAAATTAATTAGGCATTCGTAATTATGGTAATTAGCAGGCGTACATATACACACGTATACAGGAGAAGTATTTCTGAACTCACAATTATTTCGAGGTATGTCCTAGTTGATTTTGGGATTCAGTTCTGGTCGTATCCAAGGCAGAAACACAACCTTAACGGCAGCGATCTTGCTTCGATTGTAACTAATGTAATCAAAAGAATTATATACATACATATATATTATTGAACTCTATATACACAACATAGTATGTACAAGTGGACTCAAACAGATTCTGAATCCGAAGAACATGTAACGCGCTGAGGAATGACAAAATATATGAAAAACAAGTATTATGCCAGCTTGACAGTTTTATTTCGGTCTTAGCCAGGGGGCAACAAGGACTCCAAAATCAACCACACTCTCTTATTTGAACAAAGATCTCATCTGGTTTTATAGAAATATCATATTATATTATATTTGAAATGTGAGTAGACCTGAGCCTTGAGAAAACAACTTATAAGGAGAAAATAAAAAGTATGTATGTTTAGTTATTCATCTTACTCAGATTTTTCAAATCAAATTATTTTTTACCAATATCAGCCACAAAAACTTAAATCGTACTTATTAAACTTGATTCGTTAGTCGTCTGATTTTTATGAAATTGATTTCGAAATTCAAGAGTCATGCATGTCTGATCCAAAACAACGCTGTTATAATTTTATTTGCGTTAATTCTCTACAGATTTTTCGGTCCTTCCTATGGCAGCCATATGATGTTGTTGTATGAATATTGTGACTTTTCTTCTAGTCTCAACCGTAGTGAAAACCTCGATATTCTTAAAATTATGCTCGTGGGATAAAAAACAACGGCCTTGCCTAAGGCAGCTACATATATGATACAGTCATCCGAGCTTGATAAAATTTAATTCGAAATTCGATAGTTTTAAAAAAACACCATATGGAAGAAATCAAGTCGATATGATCAAAAAGAACGGAGTGGTAATTTTTTTTCAATCTTCCTTATGGGAGCTATCTGATATAGTCGCCCGATCCGGCCCCAATCCGGCCCCGTTCCGACTTATATACTGCATGCAATAACTACACAACTTTTGGTAAACTTTCAGCAAGATGGCTTAAAAACGGAGAGGCTAGTTTACATAGAAACAGACATACGGACGTATTTCGATTCAGATTGTGAAGCTGATCAAGAATATATATACTTTATGGCGTCTGAGGCGCTCCTTCACTGCGTTGCAAACATGTTCTTTTTTTTTTTAATATTGAATAAATTTTTATTATAGTCGCCGGAATCATTCAGGACCATTTGAACATAACCGGGCGTTTACAAGATGTGATGGTGTGTATGGTACATATGGGATATGGACCTTGACTATAGACAATTATTTACAAATATTTACAATATTAATGTACAATACGGGAAGACAGATCGCTGGGGTGGAATCTCTTTAGTCGTCTAAGAGTTTGCGGGTCGGCCAGCCTGCTAGTCAGTGGATTAGGGTGGCTCGTTAGCCTATCCGAATAACGTCGGCTGTGTTGGTTAAAGAGGTCGCCCACAGGAACAAGGCTTAGGTCGTTTTGTATGGCCTGGTTTCAGGGGCGGACGCAGGGGGGGTGTCCGGGGGTCCAAACCCCCCCCAAATTCTCAGACTTTTTCAAATTCCCTTACAGCACACGGTCTTTCAACCATATAAACTAAAAAAATTTTTGATCAGACCCCCCCAAACAAAAAAATTTTTCGATCGGGCTCCCCCCAAAATTTTTTTCTGCGTCCGCCCCTGACTGGCTTGTGACCTACCAGGGAAGCCCGGATGCCCGTCGAGCAGCACGTGCCTGCACTACTCTTAGTCTGTTTAGCTGGCGCTTGGAAGCGGTGCCCCATACTTCGATCGCATACGTCCAGGTTGCCGTAAGGATTGCTTTGATCAGCAAAACTTTCGTCGAAAGCTGGAGGCTTTTGGATCTGAGAAGCCAATCGAGCTTCTGGAGTTTGCGAACGCACTTAGCCCTGATTGCCGTGATGTGGGTGTTCCATATGTGACAGTGATCTTAGTGTACACCCAAGTAGCAGTGAGAGGTGGCGTTTTTAATGGTGTCACCATTGAAAGTATGCACGATGTCGATCACAAGTCTTAAAGAAAAAGTGACGCATGCCGACTTGCTGCAATTTATAACTATGTTCCGTTGCTTGGTCCAGCGCTCCATCGCACTTCTTAGATTCTTCTTAGATATTTTTGTCAGGTAATGATAGAACTAATAAAGGTTCTGATGAAAATTATGTTTTTTAGCCACTTTGAAGTGTACATTTTCGTGCCAAAAAAATATGGTTTTTGGTTGAGAAGCCGCCATTTTGTCTAAAATTCACTCACTTCGATTTTTTTTTTTTTGAGATAATTTGGATCGGAGATATCTTTCTCACAGCCAGACACTTTCTTGAGAAGGACCTTCAGGAGATCTTCTACAGGATCGACGGAACCCAATATTTTTTGTATAAAAAATTATTAATTCTTAAAATACATTAAATTCTCTAAACTTTCATATATTACGTGTTTATATTCAATAAAAAACCTTTCCAGAAAAAAAACACATTTTTTTGCACGTACAACCCCTTAATTAATAATTATATAACCCCTTAATTAATATTTGTTATTGGTCAATATAAGCGCCATCAGGATCAAAATGGGAAAACCTTTTTAAGTTACACTAAGGCCTTGGCAGCCTTTTTGCTCTTTATTAGTTCCATGCTTTGCAAGAAGAACTTTATAGTGCCCACGTATTCCTTGTTGGCGGAGCTCGAGTCCACTATTGTTAAGCTGACTAGGTAGGACCCATGTGGAAACGGCGGAAGAAGACTGGTGTCCAAATACCCATTGCGGGCAGATAATTGACCCTGCAGTTGGAAAAATAAAAACAATCAATTGGGCACAATGTCTCACTCAAAGCAAATTCCGAAATACCGAAAAAGGGCAGGTGTGATTTACATTCGTGAAACGCTTAAATAATTTCCAGATAATAACACCATAGGAGATGAAGTTCCTTTTTTGGATAACCTCGCACATTTTGATGGCCACATCAATTAGAAATGGCTTATACTGGTTACTGTAGTCCTTCACAAAAACCTGCATTCGAACCTGGAAATTACATGTTTATACTGCGGATGTATGAAGAATTATAATGAAAGTTACTTCTGGGTACAGAGGGAAAATCATAAAGCAATCCATGTTCACCACTGCCATATTCCAACTGATCGCCTTCACATGGCAAGACACGTTTTTCACCCGCGTCTTATTTACCAGACACTCGATTTTGTTGAGCTTGTAAACCAACTGGGACTCCGCCTTGCGAGACAAAGGAATTTAGCGAGTTTTAAACTAAGTCAAATAGCTCACCTCTGCAAAGCAGCAGCCCAGGACCACCAGCCACGGGAATATCATTTTAATAACTGAGCGGTGATACTTTTTTAAATGAAATACAGCTAAGACTTTATTAATCGATTCGTAATTTGATTTTAATGTTTTTATACCCTTGCAGAGGGTATTATAACTCAGTCAGATGACTGAAACGCGGTGGAGGAGAAACCTCAGACCCCATAAGGTATATATATTCTTGATCAGCATCACGATCTGAATCGAAATACGTATAAAAATGATAACACGTTGCTTTTCATCATAATTTTTTCATAATTTTTAGAATATTGTGTTTTCTAATTACTACTCTTGAATTTAAAATTAAATTTCATAAATATCGGACGACTATATCATATAGCTGTCATATGAACAATCGTCGATAATATAGAAATAGTCGACATAGCTTCGATGTTGTTTATCATTTATGTATTTTGTTGATGACTTCGGCAGTTAACCGCGTGTAGGTCTCAACCTACGGAGGATTCCGAATACAAAATTCACTAACGAATCAAGTTTAATAAGTACGATTAAAGTTTTTGTGGCTGATATTGGTAATGATAATGGTATTTATCGTATAAATATGAAGACAGGAACTTAAACAAAAAATCAGTCTATTTTCGCAAATGTTTAATCATTAGCATCGCTGGGGGAGTAGTTTATTTTTGCTTAAGTAGAGGTCAATATCCCATCGATCAAATTTAATGTAATTTTATCCAATTTGATTTTTTCGTACATATGTTTAATTTTTATTACACCAGACTCCTTTCCTGTAAGAATGCAAATTAAAAACAAGAAAGGAAGCTAGCTTTGGCAACCCGAAGCTTATATACCCTTGCAGTCATCAAATATGTCGATTAAAATGCATAAGGGCTAAGCATCATTGAAACTATGACGATTTTTCTTTTAATTTTCCATATTTCCGACTATTGTTCGTATGGCAGCTATATGATATAGTTGTCCGATTTTGATGAAATTTAATATGCAATTCAAGAGCAGTTAGAAAACTCTATATTGTCTGATGAAAAACAACGATGTTATAATTTTATTTCCCGTATTTCTATATATATTTTTCGATCTTTCCTATGACCGCTATATGATAACGTTGTCGGATTTTAATGAAATTTTATCTCGATTCCAGGGTTATTAAAAAACTCCATGTTAGAAAAATCATGCTCGTGGGATTAAAAACAACGACGTTAGCATTTTTATACCCTTGCAGAACAAAAGGGTATTATAATTTCAGTCAGAAGTTTGCAACGCAGTGAAGGAGACACCTCAGACCCCATGAAGTATATATATTCTTGATCAGCATCACGATTAGAATCAGAATACGTCTGTACGTCTGTCCGTCTGTTTCTCTTCAAACTAGTCTCTCAGTTTTAAAGCTATCTTGCTGAAACTTTCCCAAAAGGTGTATAGCTATTGCACGCAGTATATAAGTCGGAACGAGCCGAATCGGCCGACTATATCGGATAGCTCCAATACGAGAGAATGAAATAAAAAATTCTGTTGTTTTTGATCATATCGACTTGAATTCTTCCAGATAGCGTTTTCTAACTACTATTGAGTTTCGGATTAAATTTAATCAAAATCGGATAACTCTATCGTATAGCTGCCATAGGAGAGATCAAAAAATATACATACATATATATGTAGAATTAATGGAAATAAATTGATAACATCGTTGTTTTTTATTCCATGAGCATGATTTTTTGACAACTCTTGTATTGAGAAAAAAGTTTCATACAAATCGGACAACTATATCTTATAGCTGTCATAGAAAAGATCGAAAAATCTATATAGAAATAACGGAAGTAAAATTATAACATCGTGGTTTTTCTTCAGACAAGTATGATTTTTGAAATATAGAGTTTTCTTACGACTCTTAAACTACGAATTAAGTTTGATCAAAATCGGACAACTATATCATATAGCTCCCATATGATCTATAGTCGGAAATATGGAAAATAAATAGAAAAATCGTTATAGCTTCGATGTTGTTTAGCCTTTATGCATTTTGTTCGACATATTTGATGACTGCAAGGGTATATAAGCTTCGGCTTGCCGAAGCTAGCTTCCTTTCTTGTTTTTCATTATTTATATATATATTTTTTGATCTTTTGTATGGCAACTATATGGTGGAGTTATCCGATTTTGATAAAATTTTACACAAAATTCAACAGTGGTTAAAAAAAACTCCATCTAGAAGAAATCAAGTCGATTTGATCAAAAACAAGGGCGTTAGAATTTTTTATTTCAATCTCACGTACGGGAGCTATCCGATATAGTCGGCCGATCCGGCCCGTTCCGACTTATATACTGCGTGCAATAGCTATACACCTTTTGGGAAAGTTTCAGCAAGATAGCTTTAAAACTGAGAGACTAGTTTGGGCAGAAACGGACAGGAGGACAGACGGACAGACAGACAGACGTATTTCGATTCAGATATGTTAGTGATGCTGATCAAGAATATATATACTTCATGGGGTCTGAGGTGTATCCTTCACTGCGTGGCAAACTTCTGGCCAAAATTATAATACCCTTTGCTCTGCAAGGGTATAAAAAAAAAGTTTTAGGAAGCTCGCTTCGAAAAGTTAGAATTTTTACCGGAGTTGCATATTTGCTTCCCGTTACTCAGATAAACAATTTCGATGGACACAAAAAATTTTTAAAAACAACTTTAATAAAAACCAAATAATCGTTTCCTAACGCTGTAAAGCCAAAGTCTGCAAATAAAAAAAATACAAATGGGAATTTTAATATCATAAATAAGTTAAAAAACATGTCATCTACTGCTTTTTGAAATTCACAACATTTAGTGGGTTATTGGTAGACTTGGGAAGGAACCACTAACGACCCTATGAGTCTATATATTTTGTCTTGATCATCAGACGATTATTCGATCTGTTTATCTGTCCTTCTGTGAAAACGTCAAGATCTAGGGAAACATAAGCATTAAAATATTGCTTGTTCTGGTTCCTTTTTAGCTCGGAAGCTATCACATGTTAGTATGTCTGCTGCTGTGCTAAGCTTTCTTTTACGGGCAAGTATTTCTGTTACAACAGTCACGATGATATGGTGAATGTGATTTTCAAAAATGGAAATGCTCAATTTAAAGACTTGTCCGCATATCTGTCTTCTTGAACGTCGATATCTTGGATACAATAAGAGTTGGAATATTGCGACTTGACATAAAGATTCGACTAATAAAAATGCAGCAAAAGAAATTTTAGATCAACTGACTGAAAAATTCTCATTTGCATTTTAGTGACAAATACTATTTAGCGATTGGCGTCAAAATTTGCAACGCCGGCTTTCCCGAACACCAGCCTGATAGGCGTTTCAGTCAAGTAGATTTTGAGACTTGCAGCTTACTACAGTGATTAAAACGCAGCATTTGAAGTTTTAAAAAGTTGTTACCCCCATTAAAATTGTTTCTTGTATTTTGTATGTACTTAGAATCTTCTTCAAATTATAGAATTATTCTATATAAATCTACACCATTTCGTATTACTTTAGGTCCTGGGCAGCTTTTTGCTCTTTATTAGTTCCATGGCTTGCAGGTAGAATTTCATAGTACCCACGTATTCCTTAGTGGTGGAGTTCGAATCCACGACTATTAAGCTGATTTGGTAGGTCCCATGGGGGAACGGCGGAATAAGGCTGGACTCCAGATACCCATTTCGGGCAGTTAGTTGACCCTGAAGTCGGAAGATAATGATAATCACTCAAGCACAAAACAAATTTCAAAAAATGTAAAAATACTGAAAAGGGGCAGGAATGGTTAACATTCGTGAAACGCTTAAATAATTTCCAGATAATAACACCATAGGGAATAAAGTTCCTTTTTTCGATCACGTCGCACATTTTGACGGTCACATCAACCAAGAATGGCTTATACTGGTTGCTGTAGTCCTTCACAAAAACCTGCACCCGAACCTAGAAAATGGATTTTACTGCGGATTTATGCATGAAGAACTAAAATGAATGTTACATCTGGGTTAAGCAGAGGGAAAATCATAAAGCAATCCATGTTCACCACTGCCATATTCCAACTGATCGCCTTCACATGGCAAGACACGTTTTTCACCCGCGTCTTATTTACCAGACACTCGATTTTGTTGAGCTTGTAAACCAACTGGGACTCCGCCTTGCGAGACAAAGGAATTTAGTTAGGGGTCAAACTATGTTATAAAGCTTACCAAAGTGAAACAGCTAACGCCCAACAGCACCAGCCACACGAATGACATTATGATTACTGACAACGAATCATATTAAATAAACTTAATACTGTAAACACTTTGTTGATCGATTTGTAATACGTTTTTAATGGAAAGCCCGAATAGCATATTGAAACATAAATAAAAACAAAGATTTACTGATTTTGCTTTGCAATGTAGCAATATTAAACAAAGTAAAATAATCAAAAAGTTTTAAAACATTGTGATAGATTGATATAAACAATAACAGTAACCTAAGCGGCAAGGTTACTCACTCTCTCTAGCCCCTATAAGCCCACCCAAATAATGAGAATATAATATTTTTTTGGAAATTAGAAATTACAATTTATTTCATACAATGTCTGTTGTTGTTGATGGTTGTTTGCTTGCTTTATATGTTTCGAATACACAGTTACAGTTACTAAAACCTTGCCATTGAATACATGTATAGATAAGTGTTGTTGGTGCATGCAACTTAAACAAATAGCAATATAAATTCATGTCACAATCGGATCGCGTTACCACTTGCATAATTCTTATAGAACCTCTGGGTTAAGGATCCTTGAACTATCAACCGAATCGCTCTTGCACAAGTTTTGTCTTTTGTGCATTGTGTTCTGTGGTCGCATTCTTGTGGGGATCGGGAGACGGCCGCAGGCGGAGCAAGCTCGACTCGGGGAAGATGGCGCCACCGCACAGGTTGAACTCCTCCGCATTCTCAGCATCACGAATGCATCGGCGCCCAACGGGCAGTGGAATGTGCCAGTTTCTCGGGACGGGATCGTTCCGCTTGACGGGCCTCCCTTACAAATTGATGTTGTTATTTGGCTAAGGCCACTATACATGTTGATCTGATCTTGTAGGGTTAGGTTTTAGGTTGCTGCTTATAACTTCTAATTTGTTGGGATTTTACAATTTTTTTTTTAGGATTTTTGTCGTAGACTTCGTGTTGCTCATGCAATTGTTGTTGGTTTGAGTTTCATGTGCAACATTCTTCTACACTTTTTTGGGTTCTGCTTGCACGACTTTTGTTGTTGGTATTCTTGTTTGTTGCTTTATAATTTTGCTACTACAATTTCTTGTTAATATTTTATACATAATATATATTTTATATATATAATATTTTTTACTATACAATAACAGCGGAAAAATTGTGTGTTGTGGTTGTTGTTTTGCAGTATTTTGTTTTTCTCAGTTTGTCGCATTACATTCATTCACTTGATTTGTTTCGTACGTTTTATAACAACTTTCTCATGTTAATATGTATAATTGTTTATGATTTCTTGTTCTCGTTTAAATATATATATTTTGTATATATTATGTATATCAATACCGTAATTGTTTGTATTACCATCTTTTTCTTATCACAAAAAATCATAATCATATATATAATTTATTATTATTAATTTTTAATATATTATTCTTAGAATTGAACAATAATTAAAAATAAACATAGGACTTAGTTACATTTTGTATGTGTGTGTGTTGGTTTTGTGTGTGTGTGTGTGTGAATGATTGCATGTAGTTGGTTTTCGCAGTTGACGTTAAAGTATTGCCAAGCGTCCGCTCACCGCCCAACCTTCTGGCAACAACTCTTCCATGATCGCTGTAGTGGGCTTCCATTCCGCCCTCTGCTTTCGGGGGCGGGACGCGCCCAAACAGCGGTTAGCGAATGTTGTTGCGCCTGATGAAAGCGGGCGGTAGCATTGATGGTGTTGTAGCTGCTTGTTTGTTGGTATTTGGCCCTTTCGCTAAATTTGTTGATCTGATTTTGTTGCAGCCGCGTCAGGCTCAATGCAAATGTACAAAGTTTCTTCTGACAATTGTTGTTGATTTCTTTACAATTTTTTCTTTTGTTTAACGAACTTTACATATACACTAAACATTATTTAATAATAATAATGGAAAAAACAAATAACAAAGAGCACACAAAATTGTGGAGCGCAAAAATAATAAGTAAAAGAGAAGGATTTCTTGATATAGCAAAAATCATAATTATTACAACTTTATGAACTTAACTGCAAATTGTTTTCCTCGTGTTTAAGACTGATTTTGAACGGAAAATAACTAAGCTAAACCACGCGCCAGCGAATCGAGGTGAACTGAGCAACAGGTGCAATTGACGACCACCAATGGTCAGTGCTTGACGAATATCCTGCAGCCCGGCAGGACTGGTTTTGGTTGTTCTTGCTATGTACAAACGGCTCTGCCAGGGTTGCCCCGCACATGCACTGCTTTGCTTAATGTGGCATGTTGAAAGTCGCACATTGCTTTCTGCTTGCTGGTTAAACACAATTTTACCTGCTCCTCTTAAGCTGCTGCTGTTGTGGCTGCTGTTGATTGCTGGGCGTCGTTTGTCTATTTGTTGTGTGTTTGCATTGATTGATTTATTTCGTGTACAGGTAAATGGCCACAATCAAGCCGTAGAGACCCAACACCTCGGCGAAGATGAGAATCAGGATCATGCCGACGAACAACCTGGGCTGCTGTGCTGTTCCACGGACACCGGCATCTCCCACGATACCGATCGCAAAACCGGCTGCCAGGCCAGAGAAGCCCACCGCCAAACCGGCTCCCAAGTGAATGAAGCCCCTGCAGATCAGCACAGTTAGTAAGGGGAATCAAATGGGGCAGTCAGCTGATATTTACCTGTATAGTGAGTACTTTGAAGGCTCTTCCAGCGCGCCGGCAATGAGCACAGCCACCACCAGGCCGTAAATGGCAATGATACCCGCCATGACCACAGGAATGATGGATTTCATGATCAGTTCAGGACGCATCACCGACATGGCAGCAATACCGGTACCAGACTTAGCAGTGCCATAAGCAGCGCCCAGAGCTGTAAAATGATTGAAAGAGAAAATAATGAGATGAAATCTAAAATCGGTAGATTTATAACCATTTGCCAACATTATCGAACATAGTTGCGTGACAAGTACGCGTTCTAGTTGTCTAATACTTTAATACTGACTTAACATCTATAAAACCAATCGGTTCACATTATTGCGGTAAAAATAATCATGAAATGTGGTTTTCTATATTTTGTATGGAAGGTTTTATGAAGGTAATAATAATGTATAATTTCATAAAGAACTTTTTACTTTTTTAGCAACCAGTCAACCAGTAGCGTTTAGCTTTCCATTCCTAAAAATTTGGCCGCGTGCGTAAAAGCTAGCAGTCACATGATCGCCTATGACCGAAGTTGTTTGATGAAAAAACCCCCAAAGTCCCCACCCGCAAAACTGCCACTCATCACTCAGAGTTGAGTTTCTGCTGGAGAGCTAAATAAAAAAAAAAGTTTCTCCCCACAAATCGGAGAGTTTTATTGCTGCTCTCTCGCAAAGGCAGGCAAATTTTGATAAGGCTAAGCTAATGTTTATACAACAGGTAACGGTTGAAGAGGGGAAGGTGAATCAGGACGGTGTCGATTGAGCAGGTAAACCCAGTGGCGAGAGGTTTTACATATTGTGTGAATTGATGGGGTATTAATTGAAGTACAAAACCAGTTTTAAATGACGGTCAACGGTTTGTTTGTACATAAGTATGTGTGAGAGGGCTGATAAATCGAATTAAGTCCGACACACAACCAACTAAACACACTCTCATACATAAAGTATATGGGTGTATTCAAGTTGTCTGAGCGGGAGAGCAAATAACCCCCATCATGTGATCAGATATTAATTATTATAAGACTGTTATTTTATGTATGGAAACGGAACTTGCTTCTGGAATTCAATATAATTGCTCTAAATCTTCTAAATGGAATAAACCTATCAGTAGGTTGGTTTTTGCTCAATGACGGCTGCCTACGTCACTAAACAGGAAAATGGTGGAAAATGGTAATGAAAAAAACCAGAAAGAACTTGAATAAGCACTTTCTTATAGCAACAAGAGATATCCACGCGTCTAGCACAAACACAGAAATCTATGAGGTCGAGGCTGTCGTCACAAAAGCACGCACACTTCGCAACAATCTCTCAATTCGCAAGCATAGAAATACTACAATGCGTGGCCCGCATTTTTTCGAATGACATTAATGTAGCCGAAATTCATTGATGGGGACTAGGGACTTCGGCTAATGACCTAGTACTTTCCTCGGGTTGTTACACAATAAGACATTTCGCCGTTTATAAGGTAGATCAACAGATTTAAGTCCAGGCAAAATCATTTTATTTGGTATTCCATAAACATTTATTACTAATCAAGATTTATTTAATGTGAAGAAACATTTTGACACTTTTTCTTCTCTGCATACAAAAATCATGCGTGCAGCTGGCAGGTGTAGCAGTGTGTACACACCACGACTATCTCTATATTGTGCTGTGGCATTGACGCTTTTTCAGCTGTATTGGCGCCGCATTTAAATTCACAAATAATAACTGAAAAAGCTCAAATGGCATTGACTTGTTTCGCCTTTTAACTGTTCCTTCTGCTGCTGTGCATTTCAAACAATCGCACACACATACATATAAGAGAACATGGCATTTATCAAGCGACAGACGGCACCGCAGACAATTCTGTGGGCGTTGAAAATAACAAATAAAAAAAAAAAGCGGGGAATCGGCAAGAAGAAGCTACAACATAATAAGAATAAGAATCAACAACAACTGCCAGCACATTCAAAGATAATTATAAAATGGGGGAGATAGCGAGAGTCTCTCAAAACAGAGCATCAGCGGAAAAAAAAACCAACTAAACAAAAACAAATTGTAGCCGTCACAGTTGAGTGAGCAAAAAAAAAAAAAAAAAAAAAAAAAAAAAAGAACACCGACTGAGAGCGATGAAAATAAAGGCAAATCGTTCGAACCTAGTTAAACTCGAAAAGAAATGCACTATAGACAAATAAGCGCTGCAGGTGTCTGTTTCTTTTCATAATCTTTTTACATGCGCCAGGAATTCGGACGGAAATCGGGAATATAAGATAAGATAAAGCCAGTCAATTCCAGGC